CACATGGACATCAAGGCTTTTGGAGATACTTTTGTAACCTTTCCAGCTTCATGCAAGTCAACAATTCTTGATCGTAGGTCTTCTGAGAGCTCTTTTCTGCGAGGCATGGTTCACATCAGACAGTGCTTCTTGAAACCAGTAAACCCAAAACAGGTGTGTGTTTTTTAAGGGCAGGACAGCTGTCAGCAACACATCCAATATCATCACACTGATTGGAGTCAAGGTTGGCTCACTCCTGGCTCCAATTAGCTCTGGGAGAAGTCATTAAGCTAGGGCCTCATATACTTTTTCCTCACTGTACTGTGAATGCTTACATGTTATGTGCAATTAAACCATGGCAACATCTAATGTTTGTGTAGTATTATGTTCAGCAGACTGTGTTCTTCTATTGTTGTGACTCCACGTAATCCCAAGGGGTTCACATACTTTGTCTTGCAACTGTATATGAGATAGACTCATTACATGCAAAGCAAGATAGTTCAAGCTGTGATTTGTCATAATTGTGATGATTATGGCTTACAGCTCATGAAAACCCCAAATCCACAATCTCAGAAAATTAGAATATTACATGCAATCAATAAAACAAGGATTGTACATAGAACAATATCGGACCTCTGAAAAGTATAAGCATGCATATGTACTCAGTACGTGGTTTGGGCCCCTTTTGCAGCAATTACTGCCTCAATGCGGCGTGGCATGGAAGCTATCAGCCTGTGGCACTGCTGAGGTGTTATGGAAGACCAGGATGCTTCAATAGCAGCCTTCAGCTCTTCTGCATTGTTCGGTCTCATGTCTCTCATCTTTCTCTTGGCAATGCCCCATAGATTCTCTATGGGGTTCAGGTCAGGTGAGTTTGCTGGCCAATCAAGCACAGTAATCCCACGGTCATTGAACCAGGTTTTGGTGCTTTTGGCAGTGTGGGCAGGTGCCAAGTCTTGCTGGAAAATGAAGTCAGCATCCCCATAAATATATCTATAACTACCACTTCCTCAAATATAATAGGTGACAAATTCAAAAAATCAATATACAACTATATAAATTGTTTAATTAATTAATTATATATTAATTATATATATATAATTTTGGCACATTTCCATATTGTTAGCATCCCCATAAAGCTCGTCTGCGGAAGGAAGCATGAAGTGCTCCAAAATCTCCTGGTAGACGGCTGTGTTGACCCTGGACTTAATGAAGCACAGTGGACCAACACCAGTAGATGACATGGCTCCCCAAATCAACACAGACTGTGGAAACTTCACACTGGACTTCAAGCATCTTGCAGTGTGTGCCTCTCCATTCCTCCTCCATACTCTGGGTCCTTGGTTTCCAAATGAGATGCAAAAGTTGCTCTCATCAGAAAAGAGGACTTTGGACCACTGAGCAACAGACCAGGTCTGTTTTTCTTTAGCCCAGGTAAGACGCTTCTGACGTTGTTTGTTGTTCAAGAGTGGCTTGACAAGAGGAATACGACATTTGAAGCCCATGTACAGGATCCGTCTGTGTGTGGTTGGTCTTGATGCACTGACTCCAGCCTCAGTCCACTCCTTGTGAAAGTCCCCAACACTTTTGAATGGCCTTTTCCTGACAATCCTCTCCAGGCTGCGGTCATCCCTGGTGCTTGTGCACCTTTTTCTTCCACACTTTCCCCTTCCACATAACTTTCTAAAAATGTGCTTTGATACAGCACTTTGGGAACATCAAACTTCTTTTGCAATTACCTTTTGAGGCTTTCCCTCCTGATGGAGGGTGTCAATGATGGCTTTCTGCACAACTGTCAGGTCAGCAGTCTTTCCCATGATTGTGATTCCTACTGAACCAGACTGAGAGACCATTTAAAGGCTCAGGAACTCTTTGCAGGTGTTATGGCTTAATTAGCTGTTTAGAATGGGACCCTTTGAGCCTAGAATATAGCACCTTTTCCCACAATATTCTAATTTTCTGAGATTGTGGATTTGGGGTTTTCATGAGCTGTAAGCCATAATCATCACAATTATGACAAATTACGGCTTGAACTATCTTGCTTTGCATGCACTCCACAGGTGTTTTCAATACCTGAATGTAATGAGTCTATCTGCTCTAGTGTGGACTTCCTGTGAGGTATGCTTGGGATCAATTGTCCAACAATGTTGTCCATATTAGTTTTTCCATCACCTTTTACGTTGCATTACTGAAATAAATTGTTCTTCCTCCTCCAACTTTTGCACGATATTCTCTAATTATTTTTTCATGAGTTTCACCTGTATATGGACCTAACTGTATTTCTCTGCAGCATTTTTAAAATTTCAGACAAAACATACACTTTAAGGCGCTTTTCTTTATAATGGATGGTGCTGTCACAAACCAAAGGCAAATAAAACAGCTATATGTCTTTTTATCTCTTGTGCTGTTTTTCTCTATCTGATGTTTGGTTTATGCCCTATATCTATTTATAAGGAACTGGTCATCGCAGAGAGGTATGTGCTCTGAGCCTATTGCATTATACCTGTTCTGACCTACAGCAACAAAACAGCATTGAGAGGTGAGCACTGCAGTGGACAATAAAAATTATATGCTAAGGGCCAATTACCAGCTGTGAGCTTTGTGATGTGCGTTATGTCATATGGGTTTGCACAGGTTTGTGCATTTTAAATGCAACCTGAAGTAGAAACATCTGAAGTAGGGATTTGCCATGGTGTAGATGCCTATGAAATGCACGATATATGACTGTGTGTATTTACTGGACCTGCATAATGCATGTAAACACATAAATGTCCATTTTTTTTAAATACCTGCCACATAGTAAGGAAAGGGCTTTCTACATGAAATGCAATTTGATGCAGTAAAATGTCTGTGTTTTACTGCAAGATAATAAGAGTGAAAGAGCCCTAAGGTACAATTCACATTAGCAGGACATACCTGTGAAGTGTGCAGTATAATAATATAATTGGAATATTATTAAATGGTTCAGATCCGATTAATAATAACTTCATGCTTCTAAAAGTTTTCCTCTGCTTGTCTCAGCCAAAGACCTTTGTTGCTGCCTAAGGCCTCATTCACATAAGCACAGTGCGTGTCCCCAAACGCAGACAATGTGATTTTGGGCAGAAGCACCCACACCTGCACCTGTTATCAAACTGGGAACAGCATCTGTGGCCGTGCAGCTGCTGCGTCCCAATAGACATGAATAGGACTGCCTGCAGATCCTGCACGGGCAAACAAAGCCCTTTGCACAGGTTTATGGATAGGTACACCCATGTTATTAAGGTCTTGCATAAAAATTATGATGATTCCTATATGTAACATATTTTTTGTATCAATTTATTTTATAGCCAATGTTTGTAAATTTATATCTTCTGATACAAACATTTTAATTTATGTCAGTAAAATTATGTTAATGGGGCAAATTCATATAAAAGCACATGACCTGAAGCAGCAAAAGGTCAAATAAGCCTTTATTACTGTCTCATACAACACACTTTCTGCAGAATGAGAGAAAAAATATTAAATGAATCAAACCTTACAGCAGGGGTTCAAACCAGTTCACAGAACTATGATGCAGTAACAACTGAATTAGCACAATGCATTGTAACGCACACTGGCGCAATGCCATTTTTTTCTCAATGGTGTCCCATTGTACTTTCCTAGTGTGCCCACACTGCAGCACGCCACAACTTGCAATAACTTACTACTGTGCACTGCAATGCACTGCAGAAAATGCTGCAGGGAAGATTTTTGGTCCAATGCAATGCATTAGGCAGTCCATTTAAATGAATGGGCAGGCTAAATGCAACTAAGGTTTACCCGCTTTTATCAGTCCTTTTAGGAGGTACCAATATGACTTCAAAAGATGTCAATAACTTAGTTATATCTTACACATGGAAAGCTAGAAACAGAATAGCTGCAAAAAAATTTACCAAGATTTCATAATTTACTTATATAAAAATGGCAAATGACTAAAGCCAGCCATAGATGGATTGAATCATGGTAGGTTCAACAGGGACTGGCTGAAATCTGATCCATCTATGGGCAGGCTGGCTGTACTGAAGTCAATCCATTGATCTACTTTAGTACAACCAGCATGTGATCACTGCCGGCAGCTATAGATCCCTGCCTGCAGAACACAATAGAGCCGTGGTAAAGATTCAAGTGATTTTCTTTCCTTCCACCCATAGTGGAATGAAAGAAAACTGTATAATCTATGGGTTGCCTAATACACAATCTAGCTACAACTAGTGATGTTTTTGCAGTTGTTTCTGTGCAATCAAAACATGAAATCAAGGTACCATCACTGATAATGTTATTCGCATATAATCTGAACACATAATATTAATTTCCTGACTTTTATTTCAGATTCAATAATGCAAAGAAGCCTGTTTTATTTATTTTTGTTAATTATGCAGAGAACCAGACCCATACAACATCATTTGGTCCCTAAACCCCAATTTGCCTTTTAAGTAGAGATACTCATGATGTTATTTGACTGTCCCTTTACAAACATCAGATACCTTGCAACAATGTCAGTCACTTTAAGACCCAAGTATGACCCCAAAGTCAAGCTCTGCAACTTGACGACATGTTTTAAAGCTTTGCTGGCTGAGCCTATCTTGGGGCCTAGCTATTTGGGATGATAATTAGGAAACTATTTCCTGGTGGTGCTCCCAGTACTGAACTATTCAGTCTGTTCTAATGAAGAGGTCAGTTGAGACTAATGAGGACAGATTGCAATAATAACAGCAGATTAACTCTGCATATTCTAAAGTACAGAACTCAGAGTGAGTTTTGAGGGCCCAGTCAGTTGTAAATCAGAGGAGGATTATGCAAATAGCCCATGGCTGTGGCTCACAGCCTGAGTCTTCTGGGAAAAAACAAAAGCCTGGCAGGTCTCCTCCTAAGTCTGAGCAACATCTAATTACAAAAAAACACCATGATGGAAGAGCAATTTCTCACTTTGACATTACTCTTCTTTTCAACATACAGAAGACTGTTCTTCATAAAAGAAACCCACAGTCGGTGTCACTTACTGAATGTGTGCGTAGGGCAGCTATGATCTTTGACTGTGCCATGGTCCACAGCTCTGTGGTATAGGTCCCCGTTACCAGACCTTGAGTCACGTGCAAAATGTGATCTTCCACAACAAAAAATCTGCAATGAGAGCAATGGAAAACATGACATATTTTGCATACAATTCTAACTCCAGTCATATAACCTACTCCAGACAAAACGTTAAATTAAGATTTGCTAAGAGTGGAACAGGGTAAGACCTTTGTCAAGTTTTCAGTGCTGTCTGTGAATCCATTGAGAAGATTTCCTCTCACCATTATAAAATCTGGTTCTAACTCCCCACTCCACTGAAAAAGTGTTTTTTTGCTGTCTGTGTCCTCAATAGAAAGATTCTTCATCAGTTCCTTTGCCTGTGTCACCATATCCCTGGATTAGAAAGTCATTGGGACACAGGAAATAATAAAAACACGAGAAAGCCTCTAAGTCTTCCCTACTCTATCCAAAGTTTTAAACGTCTTGGCTTAAGTTGGGCTTTAAAGTGTATGCCAGGGCAAAAAAAAAAAACCTATGCAGTACAAATCTTCAGTTCGTGCACATCTTCCTGGGTTTTCTCCCTTTTAAAACTTGAATACATTTAGATATACCATTCACCTCCTAAATCTGAAAATATGCTGCATTTTTGTGGACTGAGTGTTGTCAGCCCTGCCCAGCTGCTGAACTAATCAGACCCACCCTCAGTCTATTCTACACAACCTAAAGGTTAATTGATCAGTAGTCCTAAGATGTAGACTGGGAAGGCTCTCTGAGATAACACCAAGAAGTGCACACAGGACGGCTCTGAATTTCTGACAAGATCACAGGACAAGACAGACCAAGACAAGTATATTTTTGCACTTATTAACAGACATAAAATGCTTTAAATAGTATAAGTAAAGGCTAAGTTCACCTTTTAAAAAATAACAAATGCACACTTTGTGCAGGTAAAAATTTTTTACATTTATAATATTTTTCTTAGTAGCCTGTAAAGCATTGCAATCATGATTAGCAGACCATGAGTGCAATGTCAGGCTCCTGCAGGCTGCCTGTATAGCTGTCTGCCTGTACCTCCAATACAGGCAGACAGTTACTGAAATCCAGGAAGATCAATAAGCTACGAGAGCTTTTGTTGCCAGCGGTTTAGACATTAATGGCTGTGTGTTGAGTTATTTTTAGGGGACAGCAAATTTACACTGTTATACAAGCTGTACACTCACTACTTTACATTGTAGCAAAGCATCATTTCTTCAGTGTTGTCACATGAAAAGATAGAATAAAAATATATTACAAAAATGTGAGGGGTGTACTCACTTCTGTGAGATACTGTATCTGTCCCTCAGTCCAGCAGTGACCTCACCACGGCTGGTTTCACCGGTGCCGGCATCCTTTGTGTGGGGCACCACCCGGCTGTGACAGCTTGCAGCCTCACAGCCGGGTGCCCACTGAGCATGCGCGAGTAGCTCTGCATTTTGTAAATGGTCCCGTAGTCTTCTGGGACCTGTCACATGTTGCAGAAGACTACAGGGAGGGAGAAGGGAGGACAACTTCCGTTTCTGATTGCCTTCGGCGATCGCACCGGAAGTGGGAGCAGGTACCCGAATTTGACAGGGTGCCAATCCTTAACAGGGAGCAGGGGACAAAGCATTAAAGCAGAACTTCCCCTTTCGGGTGGAGCTCTGATTTAAGTGCTTGGATTTTAATAATAAGCTGTGCATGTTAAATACTTTCTAACACTGATGATTTTCTGTTTTATAGAGAAAAATTGCTGTCTCCATTAGCCTAATATGAAGATAAAATAGACCAAAAGACTACCCAGAAAATGTACATAAATATCAAATATATCAGTTTTGATAGAGGTATAACTATATTTATATATACAGTGGGGAAAATAATTATTTGATCCCCTGCAGATTTTGAAAGTTTGCCCACTTACAAAGAAATGAATGGTCTATCATTTTTATCATAGGTGTATTTTAAATGATAGAGAGAGAATATCAAACAAAAATACAGAAAAAACCACGATATAAATGTTATAAATTGAGTTGCAGTTCATTGAGTAAAATAAGTATTTGATCCGCAAGCAAAACATGACTTAGTACTTGGTGGAGAAACCCTTGTTGGCAAGCACAGAGGTAGGACATTTCTTGTAGTTGGTTACTAGGTTTGCACACATCTCAGGAGGGATTTTGGTCCACTCTTTTTTACAGATCTTCTGTAAATCCTTTAGGTTTCATGGCTGTCATTTGGCAACTCAAAGTTTCAGCTCCCTCTATACATTTTCTATAGCATTAAGGTCTGGAGACTGGCTAGGCCACTTCATGACCTTAATGTGCTTCTTCTTGAATTTAAACACCCATCTTCGGTGTTCTGGCCAAAGGAAGAAGGTTCTCTTCCAAGATTTTACAATACATGGCCCTGTCCATTGGCCCCTCAATACAGCAAAGTCGGCCTGTACAATTAACAGATAAACAGCCTCAAAGCATAAAGTTTCCACCTCCGTGCTTGATTGTAAGGATGGTGTTCTTAGGGTCATAGTCAGCATTTTCCTTCCTCCAAACATGGCGAGTCGAGTTAATGCCAAAGAGCTCAATTTTGGTCTCATCTGACTACAGAATTTTCTCCCAATCCTTCTCTGAATCATTTCCATGTTTCTCAAGTAAATGGTTGCGACCAAAAGTGGGTCGCAACCAGCGGCGGGCTGGGCCGCTGGGCAAATGCCCCAAAGCCTCTCTAATGCCCCAATAAAATGTCCAGTGCCCTTACAATATAGCTTAATAAAAATCACTGGCCGTGCTAATATAAATATTAAGACGGCCAGGACTTAATATTTGTATTATTGCGGCCAGCCAGTCCTGTTAAGGTAGTAGGCACGGTGCACTTTCAAAGCAGTCCCATTGCCCTTGCACTGATTCCCGTGGCGGCGCTGGGAGGAAGTGATATATAACTACACTTCCAGCCAGCATGCAGAAGGGAAGAAAAGCACCACTGGTCACCAGGGAATGGCTCCGCTAGGTAGTTTTCCTGGGTTGGGGCTGGGTGACGGAGGGTACATTTTGAAAGGAGTATAAGAAAACAGGAAAGTGATGGGGGGGGGGCTGGGGCGGCCGACTAAAAGTGTGCATGAAAGTGAGGACTGAAGGAAACCGTGAAAGGGAAAGGCATGAAAAGGGGGTCAAGGTGGGTATTACAGGTGGGTGCAAAAGGGGGATAAGGAAACAGCATAAAAGGGGGAAAGGAAGGGGGCATGAAAGGGTGGGCTAAAGCAGGGTATGGAAGGGGGAATTGAAGGCATGTATGAAATGGGGGGGGGACTAAAAACCCTCACACAAACATTGCACAAACTATATTGTTTACTTAAAAAGCCACTGAAGATATTAATACTCTTAACTTAGTGTGCCTTTGAGAGAGTGAGAGGTAGAAGAGGCATTGCTAAGCCTAATGGGCTATTAGTGTGAGGTAGAGGGGACACTGCTTTTAGTTAGAAGGTATTGGTGGATTTTTGTTATTTTATGTATGCTTAAAATAATTATTTATTTTTAAAATTATGTACATTGTAGAATATTGAACAAGTTGTTTTGTGGAATAAATTATGTTTTGAAAATTAAATTATTTTTGGGCCACGACTTAATGGCCAAGGACAAATGTGAGTCCTGAGGTTACACAGGTTGAGAACCCGATTTTGATGTTCATTGACAAACTTCAGACGGGCTTGTACATATACCTTCTTGCGGAGGGGGACCTTGAGGGCACTGCAGTATTTCAATCCATGGCAGTGTATTGTGTTTCCAATGGTTTGTTTGGTGACTGTGGTCCCAACTTCCTTGAGATCATTCACAAGCTCCTCCTGGGTAGTTCTGGGATGATCCCTCATTTTTCTCATGACCATCCTTACTCCATGAGGAGAAATCTTGCATGGAGCTCCAGACCGAGGACAATTGATGGTTATTTTGTATTTCTTTAATTTGCAAATAATTGCTCCAACATTTGTCTCCTTCTCACCAGGCTTCTTGCTGATGGTCTTGTAGCCAATTCCAGCCTTGTGCAGGTCTGCAATCTTGTCCCTGATGTCCTTTCACAGCTCTTTGGTCATGATGGTGAGGTTTGAATGGAAGAAAGAGATTCTGTGGACAGGTGTCTTTTATACACGTAACGATTTGTCATTAGGAGCACCTTCTTAAATTTACAGGAGTAATCTGTGGAGCCAGAATTATTGTTGGTTGGTAGGGGATCAAATACTTATTTTACTCACTGAACTGCAACTCAGTTTATAACATTTGCATCGTGATTTTATTCTTGATTTTTGGTGGATATTCTGTCTCTATCATTTAAAATACACCTATAATAAAAATTATAGACCATTCATTTCTTTGTAAGTGGGGAAACTTACAAAATCAGCTAGGGTAAAATAATTATTTTCCCCACTGTATGTATTAAATATTAAACATAGCTTTTGCTCATTTTTTTTTCATTTATATTTTAAATATCATAGACTCTTCATTGTTGAAACAACAAAGGCAACGATTCTATAGAAGAAACTAACATTCTTCCAATCATCTAAATCAAATAATTGTTGTTTTAGCTACCCTATCTAATACTACTTGTGTACACAGGCTGTTGTAAGTTATGTATTGCTCCTTCTTTCCTTTCACAGCTATCCAACAATCCCTAGATAGCAGCTGTGAAAACTCAAACTGGAAAATCTGACTTCTGAAGGTAAAGCCGGACCTTACACTTTGTATACAATCCCTTTTTTCCTATATGGCTGGAAATAAGTCAGACAATAGAAAAAAAATAAATACATACAGCCAATGAGGAAATAGGGAATAAAGGAAACTAAAGGGCAAGCTGAAGTAAGTCAAGTGCATTTTACAGTGTTACACAGCAGCTCTCCAGGGATTGCTAAACAGATGTCACAGCTGCCTCTTTGTACATGTACAAGTACATGTTTTAGCAAGAGAAATGACATGGTTTGTTTAATGTTTGTTTAGGATTTGTTTAGGATTTCAAATTGTCAATGGCTCCTAAGCTGCCCTCTCTGAAATAATGGAGTAGTCCAGAAAATAGAAGCCTCCATACATAATTTATTTTATTCTAAATTACATATAAAGCAGTACTTATAGTAGAACTTTATGTGCCATGGGCACACTAGGGATCTCCAGTGGGGTACCTTACCTCTGGAGATCATGAAAAATAAAAGTAGCCAGTAAGTGATTCATCTCACTTCTACACAGCCATGTTTGGCATTGATTGGTGTCTACTGACCTTTAAATATTTTAAGGCCACTTTATTCTCATTTCTTAGAAAAAAAAATATCAGATGTCTTATACATGTAAATTCCCAGGATCTCCCTAGCAATATTATACTTACCCCACAATCTGGCTGAAATATTTTCTGTAGCCCTCAACTGTCTCATGCTATGGAGAAAAAAAAAACACAGTTTTAAAATTCTGCATCTAACAATTTTCAGAAATTTTCTTAATACCAATCTTCAAATGATCATACATACCATGTTTGACTGGGGCTGGAGAACTAATCGAGCTTGTTTTTTTCTTTGCTTTCTGTAGTAGTTTTCAAATACTTCTTTATCACCCTAGAATGTTATCAAAGGAGGTTAGATTTTTTTTTTCATAATTCCCTTTCTGATTTTGCAAAAAATTAATAAATATAATGGAACTGTAAGATCCTGGTCCTTGTTTACATCCTCCTACCTTTTTGCAAAGGAAGCTTCCGTTACTGTTTTTTTTTCCGCACATGATAACAAAATATTATTATAGGATTCGCTATGACCAACAGCTGTGCATTGTACATAAACATGTTGAGGGCCTGCCCACATTGCGGAAATGGAGGAGAGCACTACTAAATTTTTATAGCTGACTGGAGGTCAGCATTAAAACAAGCCTTGCTTGACTTCTGTAGCTGCAGACACTGTGGAACAATCCATCCTCAAAGAGAAGCATTGAAGCCTTAATATTAGGTCACAGCACTTTGCTCTCATTTTTTCCTGTTCACCTGTTCCATGTTTACATTAGTGATAAGGCCAAGGTGGGTTACCAAATCACTGCTGGAAGGGGAGTAGAATAACAGCTAAGCTGCTGAAATGGAATTGCGTTGCTGTGAATTTTGAGAATGAAGTTACTACACGGTGTCTGCATCTACAGAGGTTAGTGTTGGCTTATTTTAAAGAATTTTTAATTAGGTGTTTGCTAAGAATATGTAAATATTTGAATGTCAACAGCCTGGCCACAGTTTTACTTTTGTTGTTATAGATTTTGTTATAGACAGGTTTATGTGATGCCATCATTTTAAGACCTGTGGCAGGAGCAATTACTGATAAACATACAGTCATGACTAAAAATATTGGCACCCCTGCATTTCTGTCAAATAATGCACCAGTTCATCCAGAAAATTGTTTGTTGCAATTACAAATGTTTAGGAATTCTCATGTTTATTTATTTTGTCTGTCTTGGTATGACACAAAAAAAGTAGAGAAACAAAAAGCCAAATCTGACATTTGTGGTGCATTATCTGACAGAAATGCAGGGGTGCTAATATTTTCGGACTTGACTGTAAATAAATCTAGTTATTTTGTGCTAAACTAAAACCACATTAGCTAAATTGAGTTACATTGATGAAATACATATATGAGTTGCTTTACCTGCCAAAGGATTTATTTCTGTCTATTTGGTCCGGGGATTTACACAGCTCTACCACACAGGTCAGTCCTATCTGACAGGGGATCTTTCTCTGCTGCTGTTTTATACTTACATGTCTCCTCCTCACCCTACCCCATGAGTGAGGAACCAGCATACTGATAAGATCTGTCACTCTGCTTACTCCTCCTATCTGCATGTTCATTGCACTGTAACACAGCTATTCAGCTCCTTGTGCTGTTGCGTCCTACTCTTTACTGAGCTCTGCTGTATAGACACTATAGGAAGCTAATAACAAGTCAAATTCAAACACTGTTTGCATTTAGATGTGCTTCTGAAACAGTCTAATGGCTAAATATGTAACTATTTCAAGAATCTGTCAGCACTAAAGTAAAAGCAGCAGAGTGTTTTTACTGTGTTAGCCGACCATAAAAGTAGAAATTTGAATATGGGGTGGCACCATTTAATGGTTAACTAAATAGGCTGTAGTGCAAGCTTTCACAATGCCTGAAATAGAGGCCAGCATGCTTTGAAATACATTTTTCAGTAACACATTGAAAGGAATGCTAGATGCTTATCTGATAATAAAATTAAAGGACAAGATGGCAAAACCCTCTTATCAAAGTGAAGATAATAGATCCCTTTATTACCTTTTATTTCAAGTAGATTTGAACCCTAACTGAAGAGCATGTAGATTGCTAAACCACTGTTTACCATAAACCACTGCCATTTCTTTATTATCGTTTTCACCCCTTATTTTTCATCTTAGTGGGGCTGATCTACTCCAGCCTCTCTCAGACAATTTGGGGTTTATTTACTAAAGCTGGAGAGTGCAAAGTCAGACTCCCTATTGCATAGAAACCAATCAGCTTCCAGGTTTCATTGCCAAAGCTTCATTGAACAAGCTGAGGTTAGAAGCTGATTGGTTTCTATGCAGAAGGGAGTCTGATTTTGCACTCTTCAGCTTTAGTAAATAAACCCCTTTCTGTCTACATACACTCAATATAGTGACAGTTGTACATCACTGCTCAAGTGGCTTCTTGAAAGTGACAACAGTGGACTATGCCTGAACAATATGTGTGTTGGTGGGGTGGCTGGGAGAGAGAGTTGCCACCCTATAACAAGACCTTCATAGCCAGACCACCAAGTATTATTTTATTTAAAGCTGCAGATTTAGGACAACAGAAAAAAGTTTTTAAAGTACATGGTAAAGCTTTTATGCAATGTTAGTGATCATTTATTTAGCTACATCTTGTTTGAGTATAGAAAGTATAGACATTATCTTGCCCAAAGATGCCACTGCCATCACGGAATATGTTTCCATGAAGGGGTGTACTTGGTTAACAAGAATGTTTAGGTAGGTGGTATGTGTCAAAGTAACATCCACATGAATGACAGGATCCCAGGTTTCCAGCAGAACACTGCACAAAGCATCGCACATGATGTAAAAGAAAATGTGATTCATCAGCCCAGGCCACCTTCTTCCTTTTCTCCGTGGTCCAGTTCTGATGCTCACGTGACCATTCTAGGTGCTTTTGGCTGTTGACACAGGTCAGCATGGGCATCCTGATAATTGACTGCAACACTGATCACGTTATTCTGACAGCAGAGGAGTCCCCACAGTCAGAATACAATAGTGCAGTGGGGTAGATTCCACCATCCACCTTATATATGTGGATGGGGGAATCCATTAAATGTTGTTGATGATCAACCCGCTGGCTGATTTAAAAAAAAAAACATTCCATCTATGGCCAGCTTACATATATTTTCATGCAGCACACCTGGTTGATTCCTAATTCTGCCATCCCCTTCCAGTTTGAGCTCTGCTATATAGGGGATTACAAAAACCTAAAACAAGCTTCAGGTACGTGTTGCATTAAAAAATACATTTAATAACTTTTCATGAGTAGATATTTATCAGTTCCTATTCAGTTGAGCGTTACGGAAATGTTTGCAAAACATTAAAGGATAAGTTCACCTTTTGGATTATATTACATTTTCCACCAGTATATAGGGTAGAACATGTACAGTAACATGTTCTTGCTCCTACAGCCTCCTCCTGATAACCCTGCTAATTGTGACAGTGGGCTGGGGATTATCTCCCCTGTACCCGCTGTCACAATTCGAAAAGAAAGTGGCCATGCGAGGCTCCACCCACATGGCTGTGTCTTTCGTACACAGATTTCTGTGAATGAATAAACTACAAGTACCAACAGCCTTTGTGGCTGCCTGTACAGCGCGCTAGTGAGCAGTAGTTCGGAGTCAATGTACGCGCTAGTGAGCATAAGTAGTTCACCCTGGCAGTCTTACTGTCATTGTGTAACTGCCTGCTCATACAAGGTATGAGCAGACAGATACACTGGCAGTCTGCAGGAGCCAAGGAACACTGCATTGCACTCGTGGTCTGCTGATCGCTGGTGCAATGTTTTTTGAACCCAGATGCTTGCCCTTAGCTCTATAGCAGAAGTACTGCTATAGGGCAGGCAGGGCTGCGCAAAATCAGTTTGTATTTCCAGGTAGGGGTGCACGCTGCCATTGGGGGCTACAGCTGTCGATCAACGAGTCCTGACAGGAAATTCCCCACTGTCACCCTGCGATCGCCAAGGAACACTGACAGGAGAGAGGTCTGTATGCAAACAATACAGATCTCTCCGCTGTCAGCACCAGCATTCTGCTTTGTATAAAAAGCAGCATGCTTACATAGTAAAGCACACACAAACAACACAGTAAAACAGCACACAGTTAACCCTTTGATTGCCCCAGATGTTAACCATTTCCTGCCCAATGTCATTAGTACAGTGTCAGCGCTTTTTAAGCATAAGCACTGTATTAGTGACACTGAGGATGTCAGTGGCAGTTAGTCAGTTCCCCCCTCCAGTGTCAGAATGCCACAACGCAGTCCCGCTATAGGTTGCTGATCGCCGCCATTACTAGTAAAAGCTGTTATAACTGTAAAAGGATTCCAGTATACTTATAAAACCGCCATTTGTAGACGATATAACTTTCACGTAAACCAATTCATTTGGCCACACGTATTGGGATTTTTTTTTTAGCAAAGACATGTAACAGAATATATTTTGGCCTAAATTTATGAAGAAATTAAACTTTTTTTTTTTACTGGATATGTTTTATAGCAAAAAGTAAAAAGTATTGTTTTTTTCCAAATTGTTGGGGGTGCTTATAGCGCAAAAAATAAAAAATCAAATATCACCAAAAGAAAGCTCTAAAAAAGGACACAAATTTCATATGGGTGCAGCATTGCATGTCAGTTACAGTAACCCAGCACCGTATTGCAAAAATCAACCTGGTCAGGAAGGGGGGTAAATGCTTTGGAGGGCAAGTGGTTAAAGGTTCCTAAAAAAAAAAAAATACTTGCACAATTTTTTTACCTGTAAACAAATGTACATTTTTTTTTTAGAAAGGTAAAATTATCCTTTTGAGTGATAAAAAAACTCTCTGTTTTTAAGCACTTTCAGCAGCTGATTTAATCACCTACTGAGTATACAGCCTCTTTATCTTTTAATCCTTGCCTGTGTTCCTGTTTAAGCTGGTGCCATGACTGCAGCCCCAGGTTTCCTGTTTCAGGGTGGCTCCTTTCTCTTGCAGTATCCTATGGCGCCACCGTTGCATAAAGCGACTAGGGTTGTGTCTCCATAAACTGTGTGCATTAAAAGAAACACACGGCCCCAAACCTAGGGTAACAAGACACTGCTACTCCCCCTCCCTTCTACAAGCTAACAGATTCAATGAAGCCTACACTGTCCACTGTTAACTCTTCCCTGTGAAGACAGGAAGTTCAGAGAAGCAGCATTGAGAAAGCAGGAGCCAGCAGCATTGAAAATTGTAAACTGCAAGTGCTGGGTAAGAATTCTAACAAACAGTTTACTCGGGAATGATTATTTTTATTGTAATCAATTTATAATTCAGGGATGTGAATACA